CATTATTCTTTATCCAATTATGAGTCTAGGACTTCTATTACTCCTGTATAAATCATGGGCAAACTTAATCATGATTTTAGGAGGCTGCGGTAGGGGTAGCAGATAAGAGCTCTTACCTGTCTATCACACAAAGACCAGAGTTTATATTTCAGCACAAAAGTCAAAGTGACTCACAAAGGCCTAGAACTCTGGCTCCAGGGTATCATCTACACCCTCTTTTGTCCTCTGTGTGTATCTGACCTAAACACACATGCATCTATACTCACACCAATACACATGTGTACACACACCCCCAAACACCCCTAACCTCACACCAAGGCATGTGTACACACAAGTACTGAAAGAAATGTTTTTAAATGTTTAAGGATTTTGATCAGTCATATATTTCTTCAGACCCTAAACTTTGCTGTGACTTCAGACTGTCATAACACGATTTTCTAGGAGCACATTTATTGGACAACGAAAAGCATAGTGGGTTAAAGGAGAGAGATTTGGGCAGTCAGGTTCCTGTGGCTTGGTTTAATAGCTTTCGTCCAAATATGCCTAATTATGAGGGTTCAGAGGTAAATAGCTGTTAATATTTACTTAATCATACCCGAGTCTGTCTCAGAACCACACTAGGTAGTCATATATCTTTTATCACTAATTAGAAAGTTGAAGCTTAGTTTAGCAAGAGCTACAGGGATCAAACCTAGGAACTCTAACTTCTGACACAGAATCGTTGACAGCTTTTGGTTAATGTGCTATCTTCCACTGACAATCTAAAATATGCATAAGTAGAGTAATGCTATTATTAAAATGGTTTTTCTTAATAAGAGAATTGACTTTGAGCTGTTAAAAATTGGTGTTTCTGTGGTCTTTCAAATTTGCACACTGAAGTTGTCCTTTAGAAATCTTCCCCAACTTGGTAGCTCCCCAAGGTTTGGCAGAAACAAAAAACATTGCCTCGTAGCCAAAAGGTAAAAATAATGGCGTTTGATATAAAAGTATTAAGCCCCAGGTAAAGAAATGAGAACCAAATACAGGCTTTTCTAGAAGGACCTGCTAGGGAAGCTTATTTAAAATATTCAGCAAATGTACAACAATTTATGTGCCCTAAATAGATCTACACAGGGAGATGGACAGTACTTTGGGCAGTCAGGCTTAGCAAAGTGAATATTTGACTGAAACTAAAATTGGAAATCATTACCAGATCATTTCACTCAGGGTACCTAGGGATAGGGAAGCTAGTCCAGCGTATAGTTTATGAACACGGGGAATTAGTGGTGGCTAGAAGAGAAAGAAGAACAAAAACAAATGGCTCATTTCTTCATCCTTTTCAGTGAAAGCATGAAATGCTATGATTTGAATTTTAAGCAAATATGGGTTCAGAATGTTAAATTAGTTAATTAATCATAAACATTATGGACATTTTATTATGTGGTTTATATAATAAAAAATAATTACCTAGGTGTGAGACTAATCCCTGTTCCTAGGACTTATCTGGGCTTGTAAGATTATTTGCAATTAATATGCTTGGTAAATAGGATGCATTCAATAGTGTTGTCTTCTTGACATATTTATTGTTAAAATTCTATAAACTTTTAAAAAATAATATTTATAATTAGCCATATCTTAATGGTTTGGAGGTAAGAAGCTCCTATTCTTAGAATCTATTCAGAAGACATTATATATGTTGTTTTTTTTTTTTTAGTGGGTATATGCGTTTGTATTTGTGTCTACTTTCTGGGAAGGCTGCCAATTCTCTAATGACTGTAGAAGGAGGATTGAAAGGAAGTGCACACAATGGTAACCACTGCATGGCTGAATCCAGGAACGCTGAATTTGTGTTATGACCAAAGGAACCAGTGCAAAATTATTTAACAAGCAGAACATCACACCTTGTTTTAGTTTCTAATACGGGTTGATCCTTACGTTTAAGTGCAAGGTCAAAGCTTCTCTAACATTATATGCTTCCTTGTGTTAATTATTTAAACATGGTCTCATATCCAAATTCAGAATTAATAACACTAAAGTTGTTTTTTCCTAATGATTGTTCCCAAGCTCTTTGGTCTGGTGAGAACAAAAATGTTTTCCTCATTGGTGACATTTGAAGGAAGTATAGAAAGATCGTATTTAAATCATGATATTGAGATCCAGTACTGAGAGGTTAAAATTTGGTAAAGCCATTTGATTAGAGCATTATTTAGAAAAAAAAAAAAAGAGAATTAGCCCAAGAGGTACAACAAAACTTCAGTTTGTCAAATCTAAAGGTTTTTTAATGTATTTCCCTGTTGCCCTTTTCTCTTGTCACAAGTAAGAAAAGATTGCTATTTGACATTAGAGAACAAATATCACTGACATTTGTATCTAATAATGGTATAGAAATTTAATTAGGAGCATGACAGATTATCAACCTGGCAATTCTGACAAAAGCATCTCTTTAATAAAAATAAAAGCAACGAATGGACCGTAAAGTAGCCAGCCCATATACATGTAAATTATAAACTTTTGATAACAAATAATACTTTTATAATTCCATGAGAGAATTTTGACTCGAAGATAAAAGCTTTGAATAGCCAAGCTTCAATGTGTTCCTCTGGGGACATATTTGTATTTGGAAATAACTTGGCTCATATTTCAGGCTTAATGAACACAACAACACTAATCTTCTGTTGTATAAATATAACTATGAGAAATTCAATTCCATAACAAGTCAATATTTAACTGAAATTTTAATTAAAATATTTTAACTGAAAGTTGGTAGTCTGAAAAATACACGACATCAAACAGGAAGCCAAGCAAGCATTTTATTTTACCTTCAAATGTAAATAAGATGGCAGTCATACAGTTTGTGTTTAACATTTTACTATTGCAAAAAATAACTTTCAAAAGTAGACCCCAGACATTAGCTGTTTTATAATGTCTTCTTTATTGGAAATAAATAATATTGGAAAGCATTAATACTGTGATAATCATTCTTAATAATTTTGGGTGTTGAACATTCAGAACAAGGAATTTTACAAGGTTTTCTATCTTGCAATTACTGAATTTGCTCAGAAAAGTTTGCTTAACATTAGCAATTTAAGCCAGAGACATCATAATATCAAAGAGTTACAGAAGAGAAGAAAAGTTATCAGACATAAGATTAAGTCATACATGGAGCCTAATCCAGTGCTATGTGCTCAGCAAGCCAGTATGGAGAGTCTCTCATATGTTTCTTCAAATTGCTCTGGTCATTTCAATGGTACTTTCACTTTAAATTTAACAGATCACCATTGGTTTCAGTAATACCTTGTATTAAGATTTCTTTCAAAAGAATGAAATGTACATTATTTATAAAAATGACAAAAATCCAAATATCTAATTTTAGAACAAATACACAATAAGAAATCAGTTTAATACTAGAAAAATCAGTAGTATATTCATCCCATGTACTTTATAAAGATTTTCTCAGTGGAAGTAAGTATTTCATAAATCAAACACTGATTTCTATGTATTCCTTTACTATAGTATTGAAGCAGTGATTGTAATTTATGTGTAAACCAGTGTTCAGACTGACATTATTTCTGAGTAGAACATTATTTTGATTACATGATTTTATATATATGTATATAATTATATATAATATATTACACATATATGTAATTTCATGAGGAAATAGAGGAAAAATCATTTTCTAAAGTTCTAGAAGCCAGATTATAATAGTATTGTCTTAATTTTTCTAAATCTTTCTGGCTGACAAGCTGAAAGTCTTAGCTTATGTAACTCCAAGAAAGAAGTGGGTGGGGAGGAGGGATACTTGACATCACTTTCAAGGACAACTTTGAATGCTAATGTTTCCATTTCAGTCTCCTAGCAGAAAGAGTTTTATTAACCAGTGTAAGCTTTAGAACGTCAAATGCATTATGAGCAGTATACATATCACACACAAAATACGAACATAGGCATTTCATCATAAATTTCTTCACTTGAAAAAACAGCATGAAAATTTTGAATGAATTAAAAGTGATCTCACAGCAATCTCCAATATTGAGGCTTGATGAATAAAAGTCCTATTATTAACGTGTTTAGGCATTTAAAATTATGGTTTATCCATTGTAACAAGTTTCTCTATACCCTTTTATAATATTTTTTATAACTAAGAAGTAGTCTGATAGGTCCCAAACATTATTGTTTTGTATGTACAGGCAGTAGGACTGTCAGAAAATAAAAGACCATACCCCCAAACTATCTTACCATTTTTCTATTACATAACAAAACACTTTGAGAAACTTGTTATCTGGAAGTTTTGAATACCAATTAGAGCAAATCCACATAATAGTGTACTATATTGAGAATTGGGGTGGGGGGAGCTGCAGCTCCAGGTAAGGATAATGTTATTTCCAAATTTTTGTAAATCTTTATTTCTTGAAACATGTAGTAAGAAATTGACAGAAATGAATAAGAAAATAGTTGAAGTAGAGAAAACTAGTAAGGAAATACCTCTTTAGATAGAAGATAATAGTGTGACGTGAGATGCTGTGAAAATGAATATTGAATTTGACAGCCTTTGCAAGAATACTATGATGTGATAGTAGGCTGTGAAGGTCAGGTTCACTAAGCACAGAGAATCATTGTGAAAATAAAATATTGTTCAATAAAGGTGAACATATTTAAAAGAACCTTCCGAATATTGGGTCAAGAGAGATTACTTTCTTTCTATGGTACTAGGAAATTTTATTAAAGTAGAATACCTAGGATGCTGGAAATACAGATAATTAAAACAAAGTACTTGAAAAGGCGGAGAGTGTGTGAGAAGAAGTGCGCTCTAACCGGACCCCTCACAATGCGACCTGCCATCATACTTCGGAGTTCAAATAAAACAGAAAATATAATTACCGAATACAATAACAGAAAATTGGTTTGAACTCAGTCTAGTTTACTGAGTGATCCCAATACCCCATATATGGGAAAAATAACTCACATGCACTTGGGAAGAGATTTTTTTTAAATATTCATTTTGGATTACTTTCTTTCAGGTGCTTCAAGAAGATCTAGAGCAGGAACAAGTCAGGGTCAACTCTCTAACTCACATGGTGGTAGTGGTTGATGAATCTAGTGGCGATCATGCAACGGCTGCTTTGGAAGAACAACTCAAGGTCAGATTTTTCTTTAAATGAATAATTCCTTTTCAGCATTTAATTCCTTTTCAGCATTTAATTCCTTTTCAGCATTTAATTCCTACTTGAAAATGTATTTAGAAAATTTCAGAGTTTGATTCATTTAACGTAGGTAAAGTAATCTATTAGTCATTCAAATTCATATCATTCCGTTTGTGTATTCTCTATTTCATTAACTTCGCTGCTTGCTCACAGCATTTTCCTTGCCTTTGAGGAAATCCACAAATTCAGATCTAATTAGTTTTTATTATACTTGAAATGTATGCATTAGAGAACTAGCCAAACAATACTGTTTATGTATCCTTCGAGTCTGAGTGTGGACAAAAATTAATGTGAAATTTACTAAATTATTAAAAAGTGAGTACTTTGGTGTATTCATTCCTTTAAGCTCCCAGTCTTTGTTCTGCAAATGATAGAAGTTAGTTGGTTTCAGCTATTCGACCCCCCTTTCTTACCCAATTTAAGGTATTGTGCTCCTGTAAAAGTATCAAGTAGGGCAGCAAAAGCCTGTAATTCTAGCACTTCCATGGTAGAGTCATGAGAATTGGAAGTCTGAGGCCAACCTCAGCTATACAACAATCAGCTTTGCTTAAATGAGAAATCTCACCCCCCAAAATCAAAACACAGGGATGGAGAGAAGACTCAGAGATTAGTCTCGTTGCTGCTTTGCAGAGACCCAGCATCCACACATGGCAACTCACAACTATCTGTATGTAGGTAAACAGATTCTATCCCCTCTTCTTGTCTAGGTGGTCTCCTGCAAACACATGGTGCAGAGAAAGAACTACACTCAATCACATATACATACACATAAAATAAAAATAAACATTAAAAAAAACAGACAAAAACGATAATGTGGATATTTTAAAGTCTGTTTTATATAAGCATGCCTGATGATATGCAGGTAGGTATATATATGAACCAGAGATGGAATATGGGTAAACCTCGTCAACCGCTCTCAATCTCAGTTTTTGAGATAGGCTTTCTCTCTCAACTTTGATCCCACCAATTTTGCCAAACTGTCTGGTTAGCAGATCCCAACGATCCTCCTGTCTCTATCCACCATCCTGAATACTTGGATTACAGGTGTGCATCACAGCTCCTTCCTTTTTGCATGGCTACTTGGGGACCAAACTCTGGTGCTCTTACTTGCATGGGAAGCACTTTATTTAGGAAACTACCTCCCTAGTCTGCTGCCTATAAGGTTCATTAGACCCAAAAAAGGCCCGTGCTTCCTTTGTGACAGATAGGAGCCACAAGTCTAATATCTCAAAGCGTCCCTCCATTACAAGCTTAAATGACTTTATGAGCCTAAAGTAGTTCTTAAGAATATCTCCAACCTAACATATAACATAATTTCTTAAAGACTTATATTTGTTTTCTTGTCTGTTAGGTGAATTATTTTTTCATTCCAGAGAAATGTCATGTCATTGGTTACTGCTTTAGACTGCCAATATGTAACAACTCTATCTCATTTTCTCTTATTAAGTGACAAAGGAATAATAAATTTCTAACAGATTTAATATTTTTATCACAAAGTAAAATGCTAGTTGCTTACATTCTAATAAAATTGCTAAGATCTACTTCAACCTATGCTAGTTACTTACATTCTACTAAAATTGCTGAGATCTGAAAATGTTTATGTTATAGTCTATGACAATGTATCATGAAATATAGGGCAAATTTTGTATTGCACACATACGTAGTGCCGACACAATAAGATACCGAATTTGAAAGAACTCCACACTTCTGATGTGAAAGTGACTAATTGTTAGAAGGCAAAAATCCAATACTCAACCTTTCCCATACCTTTTCAGAAAAGATTTTAAACACTGTAGAGCAGAATTCCTCTGACTGTTGACTGGTTAAAAACTGCAACAGAACATTTTATAAGACAAAGAATATTTCCAGACACTAGAAACACATTGGATTCAGTAACTTAAAAAAAGTAGCCTCATGATGGAATTATTTAAGGTGATGCTTTTGGGACAGAAGCAGCTTGAAAACAGTCCATAGAACTCATAAACGAAGACTAGGTTACATTTCATATAAGAAAAATTGGGAGTGCCGAGGCTAAGTTTTAATGTAGTCGTTTAGGAATCTGTATTCTGATGCTGGAGCAATGATCCAGAGTTTAAAACTGATTGCTTCTCTTTATGTATATGTGAGTTTTGATCCCAGCACCCACATAAAGCATGTCTGTAACTCAGCTCCATGAGGGTACAAGAGACAGGAGAATCACTTGGTCTTGCTGCCTCTAGTCCAGCAAGTGGGGGCCTCATTTGGAGGGAAAAACTCTACCACAAGCAAGAGTACAAAGCAAGAAAATCCCATACCTTTTTAGGCCTCTGTACATGCATACACACTCACACAGATACACAAAAACATATGCATGAATAACGAAAGAAAGAAATTTGCTTTTATTATTTTCTCTTTATATTTCATTAGCCCAAGATAGCTATCAAAACAGATATGCATGTCTTATATATGTTTTACTTGCAGAAACACATAGTTGACTGTGATTGCCTTTTCCATTAAGTAACTGTTGTACACTGTCTTCCAGAATAATGATGAAGTCCCCTTCCTCCTTTACCATTTTGGCTCCATATCGCATAGTCTTATATCACTTTTAGGTATTCTAGACTAATGTACAAAAGGAAAAAGTTAGTTGTAATGAAGTGGAGTTAAACATCACTTTGTAAAATGTTTCAAGTCTATTAAATAATGGCAATATGAATATTTTATTTCCTATGTTTGAATTATGGCAACGTGTGTGTGTGTAATATATAAAGACAAAATAAGTTAATACATATTTTCCACTCATTAAAAATTTGTCATCTCTTTCTATTGGGAAATTTTAAACTCCTACATTTCAGTAACTTACTGTATGTAACAATGTTTTGAGGGCCATAGATATCTTCTGTACTATGGTAGAATATTGATATTTTTATTCCTCCCATTTTTTATTTGTTGTCCAACTTGGCTTTTTTCTCTTGCTTTATTCTCCTTATCTTCTGTTGACCAGGGATCTTCTCAGTGAGGTTATAAGCCAACTTTATACTTTCCAATGTGAGCGACAACATGCAGAATATTTTTTCTGTGCCTGGCTCATTTTCTTAAATTGTTATTAGTTATTACCAGGATATTCTTTTACTGGAAAGGAGGTCTAAGAATTAACAAGCTGTTTATTGGAAATATTGAGTTCAAACAGGAATATTGTATGTTTAATTGTTTTAAAAGAGGTCCTTTTCTGAGTATGCCCTCCAGTGTGTCTTCTGCCTAAAACAAAACAAAACAAATTAAAAAAAAAAAAAAACAGAGTAATTTAGTCCAACTTCATCAAGTAGAAGCATAATTTTTGTTATTCTACAGATAACTTTAGATCAAAATCTACAATTTTTAGAATATGATGTGAAAAAGGAAAAACTATGAAAGTAATGACAATATATAAAGAAGTTGTACATTGAATTTTCCAAGTATTCTTACAATTATGACTACCAGAATTGACAGAGATAATGGAGAAGTACAAAAGAAAAAATTCCAGAAACTTAATGACATCTTTTTTTACTTGTTTTAATTGTTAATTATCATTTTAACAAATTAAATATGTGGCATTGTGAAGATCGCTGAAGAAATGTGTCACAAATCAGAAAATAATAAATGTTTAAAAGAAATAAAGTAAATGAAGATGAATATTTGGAAGAAAAAGTACCCTAAACGTATTTATTCAAAAAGACTATGTTATTCCTGATTCTATCAAGGCTAATGAGTGAAGTACATGATTCTAAAAATTTATAATTTGCATGAGTGACAACATTTAGTACTTTTCTTTCTGCATTTGACATATTTAACATTTATTATTATTATACCAGAGAGTTATGTATATTTGTATATATATATACACATATACATCACACTGACTTATTCACACACACACACACACTTACACACACTTGTGTATGTGTTTGGGAGGCTGGGAGGTGTGGCCTGCCCATACAGATAGTGTAGAGGTTACCAGGCTATTAATTGAACACCTCTGATCAGTTTGTAAATTACGTGTAACATGTGACATCTCACATTTGGACATGTCCTAGTGACTAAAAAGCAATTCTTAATATAAAGTTATAGGGAGGAAGAGCCTGGGACAAGTATAAGAGTCTGGGGCAGCCAGGTGTGACTCTGGCCCAAGAGATAGTGCATATAGATCAACTATCTCTTAAGCACATCCATTTTAAGACTTAAGAGTGAAAGATGGTTTTACATCTCTTTCTTTGAAGAGCAAACCTGTGTCTTTAACATCCCTGGTTTCCCTAGTGCTTATCTGTGAGCATAAGGGAGAGATAATTCTCTAAAATTTTAAGCCCTATATAATTAAGCAATAAGCGTTATTTGTGATAATATAGATGAAAAATATTGATGTTTCATTTATTTTTTTTTATTTTTAAAATAAAATGGACTTTGAATACTAAAAGATTATTTAAAGAATGAAACCAGAAATACATAAACTGAATTGTTCATAAAACAGTAATTGTAATTACTATCACTGTTGTGTGCTTATTGTGTTGAAATAATGCTAGATAGGCTTTGTAGGAAATGTAAGTCTGGTGAAAATATGAGAAAAATCAGTGGATAACAAAGTTAAGTTTAAGAACATATAGCTTGTAAATGAGAGAGCTAAGGTTGGTACCCAGATGTGTGTAATACTGCCATCTGGACATAATCTCACAATTTCATAGAATAAAATTGCTATTTGACCTTAAGAAAATTTTGCAATTTTTCACAGTTCTGAGTTATCCATCAGCATAAAGGCATAAAAAAACATTTAACACTGCCACATATTCTATTGACAAACCATTAATGCTTATGTAATATTTATATCTATAGATAAAAAGATAGAAATAATACACAATATAACACACAAGCATACCACCTATTCTCTATTGAAAGTGTTTAAAAATATTTACAAATTTTTCTCTCCT